ACTCTACATTTGATGCTCGTTGGCTCTTGTTTGTTGCTGGAGCGAAAGATGCGAATATGTGACTCGTACACAGTATTTGTGCAGTGTATTCATATCGACCGTATTTTTCTCCATAAATTCTTCTATTTCCCATATTTGAGGCACTTTTTTTATTCGCATAGTGCTGTTCCTTTGCAGAGGTACGAGCTTGTTTTTTTTTCGCTGTTCAACATTCTATGGAGAACGATCTCGGTTACAAAAGCCCTGTATGGAGAGGCACAAGAGAGGCAAAGTACCATCGTTTTCATTTTATTTATCTGCTGCTGCCGCTGCTGTTGATTCTCTCCGTATCTTTTTTTTTTCACTTTGTTTTTTGATTATTTTTATCTTACTTGATTTTGTTGTTATACTTCATCCTTTTTATAGCTGGTGTTGGATGTTTTTCAACTGAATGCGAGTGAAAAAAAAACTCAACGTCATCTAAAGCAGCAGTGAAGAAAAAATTGCAATGCCTGAATAAATAACAGCAACAAAAAACGTTCGTTACAGAAAACGACAAAATTGAAAAGGAGAAGATGATTACGGCGAGAAGAACAACAACAAAACGAGAAAAAAAAGAGAGAGTGAGAGAGAGATGATGATGATGAAAATGATGAAGTAGAGAAAAAAAACACACGACTGCATTTACGAATAAACGACTAGCACGCAAAAAGAGATCTTAAATGAAAACAAATGTATATTAACAGGATTTTCCATGTAAAAGACTCACGAACGGAAAGTAAAATATACACTAATTCTTTGGCTGCGTGTTTTGTGAGTGTTTCTTTTTTTCATTTTGCACGCCTCGTCTCCTTCTCTCTTTCTTCCTTCGTTTCTTTCGTTTTCTTTCTTCGTCATCAAAATAAGACGATGCATAAGATGTGAAAATCGCGTGGAGTGAACAAAAGGAGCGACCGAAGAGTTACCAAACGAACGAAGTAGAAAGACATGTAAATCGCAATTATTGTATGTTATGCCTAAAAGTATCCATTTACTGTACACAATTACAGAGCATGTAAATTGCTTGCACACACATATTGATTGTGCACACATGACGGTATTTGCACATTTTGCAAGGTACCCGCTTGACGAGAGAACAATAAATGGTTTATTTTAATTTTTTACAATCTCCATTTTCAATAATAAATATTCAAATAGACCATTTTTATTTACCTTTATTTTGTTCGTTTATTCTTTTTTTCTTTTTTTTCTCTGTCTCATTGTTGAATTGCCTGGGTAAGAGTGTCAAATCGACACATATAACTAACAGTATGGTTGTTGCCGTTGAAAGTGCGCACACATCAAAAAGTGGCATAAAGCGCTTAGAATATAATACTATACTGGTTTATGACTGTTATTACTTACGAGTTTATTTCGTTTGGTGTGTACGTTATTCGTCATTCGTGTACATAAGTTGTTGGATCGTTCGTCAATGTGTGTTGTATTGTTGTTACTTTTTCACGCTTCTTTCTAACAATCCATTCATAAAATAATTTCATATTTATAGCTTGCACACGAAATTAATGCATGAAAGTGGGAACGAATATATGGCGAAAAATGTCGATAGAGATAAAACGACTGACAGTACAGAAAAATAGACGAAGAAAAACACCGAACACAAAATGAAAATAATAGAGAGCAAAGGAATAAAAAGTGCAGCGAACGACAACCTCAGTACATGACAATAAATAGTTGGTTCATGCCAGCCATGTGAAGTAGGTAGTTTTGAGGTTGTTGGTTTTTCTTTTATCTTGTTACTTGTTCTGTTTTTAAGCCGCACATATTTTTTTTTCTCTCTATCCTACTCTTGCGCTTGCTCTTTCTTCGGTGTATTCATTTTGTTGTAAAGAAATTGCGCTTTCGTCGAGTATACACTCGTTCGTTGGCACTTATTCTACTGTGTTTACTATTTGACATGCACATCAAAAAACCAAACAAAATGTGAATACGCGCATTGCATGCATTTTTGAACTATATTGCCACCACATGCCGAACCACGCTAACCGTCATATTTATGTGTGTTGACGGCGTTTGGAACATATTTCGGTGAACAACAGAGGAAAGCAAAAAAAAAACGAAGAAGACAAACTGCGTCAAATTACTACTTTAGTCAAATATTATTTGATATAAGCGAATGAGGAAAACTAGAGAGAGAGAGAGGCAAAGGGGCGCGTCGCACACGTATCAAGTACGAAAAGTACGTGCAATGTGCATCATGTCACACATGTATAAACATAATATAATAAAACACTCGACTTTTACTCGATTCCATATATGAAAACATATAGCCGTAGATTTGTCGTTGCTACCTTCAATATTCCCCGCATCACATCAAACAAATATAAACGAGCGAAAAAAAAAATGCACAACTTTTAGCAGCAGCAACGACAACATCAATGACAATAACAAAAACAACAGCTACAAGAGCCAACGGACGAACCATCTAAAACCAAAGAATAAATGAATAAAGCTACAGTTTTTCTCACTCTTTAGAGCCCTGTACCTCGTTTTGTCGCCGCATGGAATCCAGCGAATGGCATAATTGTATTGCATGTATATTAGACACTCAGTGAGTGAAGTTTTTACCGACGGCAACGACAACGACAGCAACAATAACAAAAAAAAACAGCGACAACAACTATGACGGGGCGAGAGTGAAAAACGCACATGAACAAATGAAAGCAAATAGAGTGGCGTGTCGTATGCTGCATTCAAAGAGATTATACACACAGTTTACACAGGCAACGATTAGTCTTTATTATGATGTTGCCATCTCACTTTAGCTCGTTCACTAGCACATGTTCACATATTCGCTCGTTCATATTTGGTTGTGTGTTGTTTTTGCGCTTGTGAATGCTTAATGTTGATGGCTGATGTGGTATCTTTTTAAGCGATAGAATGCTTGCATTACAGAGAATTTTACCGCACGGTATAATTTATACCTGCCAGTGCATTGTGAACTAAAGCCAAAGCCAGAGAATATCAGAGAATTTCGCTCTATTTCTCACTCTGTATATGTGTATGATAAAGTCACTATCTTTCTCACTATGTGAATAATGTGCATATATACAAGCATATATGCGTATACTGAGCCAAATGCAATTTGCCCTTCAATGAGCAAGCAATGGAGTTGTTCATCGGTGTTCCGAAATTCATTTTCGATGCTTTTTCGCTTTATTCGTTTAAGTACTTGCTGTATTTCATCGCTGCTTTTTTTTTCTTTGATTTGTTTCCGTTTCCCTCCATCTCTATTGCTCGCTCGCTCTCTTCATTGAATCGCTGAGTGACGGGTTTATTCAGGGTTCCCATTTTTTCGCATTCGGGCTTTACTGTTTTTTTTTTAACTGTATGTATTTTTACCATCATCATCATCCCAGTGTGCCATTCTATATTTGCATACATTTTTTATTCACATCTCAAATATTTGCATCCATGTCTTTTTCCCCCGCACATTTTTCCGCAACTTTGTACGCCTCGTTGATTGTTGTTGTAGCGCGCTCGAGTGTTTTTTCACGCGCTTTTTTCCTCTTTAACTTGATTTTTTTTTTCTCCTTGGTTCCTTTTCTCTCTCTCTTCGTTTTCTTGCTCTCTCTCTATCGTCCTTCATGAATATGTATGGCGAATAAGCATGCAAATATAACAGCGGCAGCAGCAGCAATGAACAAGCGCGAAATAAAAAATTTACCAAAGAAATTACACGTATAAATATATGCTGTGCTATAGTTCAGCACGCTCGTCCCATCCACATTTTATTTAAGAAGCGCGCGTGTGAGCGAACGAATGAGAGAGACGCGCAAAAAACCTCATTCTACCAATCGTGAATGCAATAACAACAATACCTTGGCGCAAAAAAAAAGAACGTACACATAGAATGTTAATACTTTGAGTTCAGATGTAAGTACATTTGAACAACTCAACGAGAGAAACAAACACAGAAAGAAGAAAAAAGAGAGACATATAATAAAGAGACGAAAACGACGAACTGAGAAAATATACCCGAATAAATGGTTTTGTGAAGAGTACAAGCAATAACAACAACAACGTGCACACAAAAAAAAGGAAAATCAAACGAAAAAGAGAAAATACTTCGTATACATTGCTCGCACTTAGAATTTTTGTGTTGAATTCGCATCGCAGCACATTCCATCCCGTTTACACGTTCACGGGTGTCTCGAACGCATCGTTCAGTAAATTTTTGTGTGTGAATATTGTGTGTGTGTGTGTGCCGTAGTAGTTCTTGTTCTTTTGCACACTTTTTTTTTGTCTCTCGCTCTCACATCGGATTGTATTACATCGGTTTTTGGTTTGTTCGCGTGACTCTGTAATGTTTCATTTCATTCACAACCACCGCATCTCATTGCGTTCTCGGTGTTTTCCCTTCGGCCCCTTGTCGCGTCTTGTCACGATTTGCCTGCTATATCGTAGATCGTCATATACATATTTATCGTTGCGAGTCGGTTGGTATTTTTTTTTTTTTCATTCTCGTGTTGTTAGCATTTCTCTTTTATGTATCACAAATACACACATTGCCTTCTCGGTTTTGTTACCCAAAAATCTATAGCTGAAAGACTGTGGCTGTTATGGCAATACCATATATACCAATATCCATGAATGTGTCCGTATCCAATGCATAAATAAATGCGATGTCGTTTTCATTTCATCGACACAACCAAGCTTGCTCACTCTGTTACTCTTTTTATGTATTCGGTTGTTGTCTCACTTCTCATACTCTTGCACGCACACACACACACACACGCTTCGATATACTTATATACATACACAAACAATTCTGTCATGCTCACACACCCATACATAAAAGCATACCATTTATACACATTGCCGCTCTGTCACTTTGCCGCTATGTATACAATTTTCCATCAGCGGTTCGCCTCGTTTCGTATTTTATTGTCGGATTGAGGCTTCGCTTGCATTTCAACCAAACAAATTTTTGCTACCACCAGACAGTTTTCAGTTAGCTTCTGTCGAGTGAATACATATGCTCGTATGTGTGTTGTTCATTTGTTCGATGTATATTGTTCGATTGAGAGTTCAGAGTGAGCATCATCATTATATTTCATTTCATTTTGACGCATCGGCGCCGTTCAATTGGATTTCGTGTTTGTCGCTTCAAAAATTTTCGTGATAAATTATTTTAAAAGTGAACTTCACCGTTCAAGCAAAACGACATAGAAACGAACAAATAGAAAAGAGAAGAGAAAAAAAAAACAAATAAATAACGTGAAAAGTTTTTGGCAACTTGCAGCATTTTGTGATATATAGATGAATGTGGTCAGCACGCAATCAATAGCTCTATCGGTTATTATTAATGCGATCTCAATTTCATGTGAAAAGAAGAGAAACAGTCATATAATTTTGTTTGTGTTCCCGTTCGGCAAACAACATATTTTTTTTCCATCTTTTGTTAGCATAACACATACACCAAGTGCTAATTGGCAAACATCAATTTTGTGTGCGAGTGGAGGATACAGAAGCAACGAACGCTTCAAATGTGGGATGCATTCTAACTGAAAAAGCAATAAACAACAACAAAAATACACATCAAAAAAATATATTTGTGTTTACGCATCAAAAACCAATAGAAAATCAGAATAATAAAACAAAAGTATTTGCAACGATAAACGTCGTAAGAATAAAATTTGAAGAGGCTTCAATATTCGGAATACGTGGAATTAAGTGCTAACGTGGTTAAAATGTGCTCAAAACACAAATAACAATTCTAGGTAAATTTAATTGAAACAAAATATTGGTATATTGTGTTCACATTTTGTGTGCATTCAATCGAAAGACGAGAGAGAAAAAAAAACGCAAACGATGAAAATAAAAAGGTGGTCATTTTTTTTGTTGTTGTTGTGCTGTTGTTGTTCGAGTGCTTTAAGTTCTCAAATTGCCTCTTTTTACCGCATTTGTTGTTGTATCCATTTTGATTGGATAATCGGCTTTAACAAATTGGTTCGCTTTAATTGTATTTTCTTGAAAGACATCCGTCGAAAGGCGAACGGCGAACAGAGGAAAAAGACGACGGAAAAAATGCGACCGCTTTTGTGTTTGTAATCGAACATTGAAAGACCGATTCGAATTTCAAGCTATAAATTCTAAAGAAAGAGTCGGAGAAAACCCAAGCCATAACGATATATTAAGCAAAAAAAAATATATACACACACTGACATTGGGAGAGAATAAAAACCCGATGGCATCATGGAGAGCATTTATCTATGTAACTTCACACCCTACTCGATGCGGTGTGCATAACGGAGAAAAATCTAAATAAAATGAAACATATACATATAATGTTAACGAAGTGATTTGATGTCAAAAATGAAAAAAAGGGCCACAGAGCGCTTATTCGCGCGGACAAAAGATGCACACGCAGCCTGAAAAACTCACTGATTCGTTTAATATTTTTCGATTAAATTGAATTGTGCAGAGCTCCTTGTGTCTTCATTCGATTCCGGTATATCGGAATATACGGCTAGCGAATGAGTATTGAATGAATGTGCTTGTGACAAAGAATGGGAGAGAGATATGAGAGTGTATGCAGTAAAAATGAGAGAAGAAGGGTCGAAATCGTTGTTTCGTAAGCAGTCATTCAGCATGTTCTTTTGTTTCGCGTAGGGCTTATGTATTAAACATGTTTATTGCTTCAATATTCCGTATGTATAACGATTGAGTATGGGCGACACAAACCAAAACTCGTTTCATGTCGATCGCTTAAGCCCATTTCACTTGAATTTATTGTGTGTCGTTTTATTGTGGATACGGTAGCTGTGTCATCGTCATCGTCGTCGTCGTCTACATGACACCGTGGGATTAAGACACGCAATAGTCAATTATACGCAGGGAGAAAAAAATCTTCAAACAAACAAAAGAAAAACCAAAGTTAAACTCACAAATTATGACAAATGCACACCCGAAAAAAGTCTGTTAAAAAGTCTTTCTGTGTCAATAAAGTGGAAAGAATAATAAGGAGGGAAAAAAAATGTAAATTGCTTTTGTCGTGTGATGTGATTTGTTTTTTTTTATTATTTCTCTACTTAAATATTCCGCGACGAATTAATCCCTCATTGATGATTATTATTATTGTCGTTACGATTAGTTGATTACTCCTTCTTAGTTACAGTTCTTGTTCCCTCACACATATACATGCACATAAAACAATTTGATCATTAGAAGTTTCAATATCACCCCGACATTCTTGCGTTCATTGTGTGTTAAAGTGAATTAAATGAGACACGCAATGCTCACTCATTTATCGGTGTGAAATCAACGAGTGAAAAATATTTTCATCGCTTTTGTGCAGTTGACATTCACATGTTGTTGTTCTTTTTTTTTCTCTATTTGTAATTAATTTGTCATTTTAACGTAACCAATTTTAGATTTTTAACCATCGCCTTCTCATCTAAATCTATTTAAGGCTCATTGACCCAGCCATTGTTTCGCGTAACACCAAAATTGTCTAATGCATTTAATTAAAATGTGTTCATGTCAATATTTCAATTCCACTCTCTATTCACATGTTGTTTACATAAATCTGTTTTTTTTTTTCTCTCAAAAATGCCATGTCTCAAAGCTATTTTAGCTATGAAGACGGGAAAAGACAAAAAAAGGCATTAATGCTCTCTGTTTGATTTAAATAAAATTAATATTTAATTTCCATTTTTACACCATAAAACAAATTCACACAGTTAGCATGTGCGTTTGAAATCCCATTCAGAGACAACAAAAAAATACAGTCATTTACAAATAAACTATTCTACTGATTTCACAATGAATTTCAATGAAACAAAATGAATCGTTTTCTTGATGTATTTCGTCGCCAATTAATTTGTGTGTATCGCTGCTTTGCCTAATTTCAGTTGGCATTCATCCGCTTTGATTCAAAAGAGGAACAAAAAAACTATTGGTATATTTCTAGCCAAATTAAATACTAATCTAATAAATCTTAATTTATTAACGAATCCCACTCAGCACAATCACAACAACAATAACGTTCAATGTATCTAGTATAAAAGAAAAAAAGAGTTGTATACATTTGCTATGTGCCACTCGCATTCAGTGTTGTTCTTTTTTTTCTTCTTCTTTTTTACAAGCCGAAATTCAAAAAGCGAAACCAAATCAGTGAAATGAAACGAGCTTAGTCAACCGGTGCCACACACGAAATATAATCATTTGCCAGCGCACACTTTGCTCGTTTTGTTGTTATTGTTGATATGGTGTGTTGATGCAGCCAGTATGCGGTAGTGCGATCACGGTATTTCGAACGTGATTTTGGCATTTTAGTTGCTCAAATGTGGTTTTTTTCTACAAATAAAACATGAGAAGAAAAAAACGCAAAACCAGAATCCAAAACAATAATACGAAACCACAATCTTGTGGCGAGCGTTCACATCAATTCTTCTTCGTCTTTTTTTCTGTTTTAATCAGCCGTAAAATAAAGCAACCATCCATTTGAATGCCATCATTTGTAATCGACTCTTTTTGACTCTTTTTTTTCCTTATGGTTATTTTATCTGATTTCAGGGCATGTTTTTTGTTCTCACTTTATTTATTACCAAAAAGATATGCCGATACAATCGACAAGAATTCTGTTTTTTCTTCTTCTTCTTTTACTTTATATATCGTTTGGTAATTATTTGATTAGTATGTTTTTTTTAAGCAGTCGTCACATAATGACACACACACACAACTCTGAATGTTTAACATGTTTTGATTTTGGGATCGATTACTTTGTTTCGCCGAATTGGTTCGTTTTCACACTATTTACCAAGAGCAACTCTCGTAAAACAAAGAAATAAGAGATAAATAAAATAAATCGGATTTTGGCACACATAAAAAATAGATGAAAATAAAAATCTGTTCATCTAGCGGAGAGAGCATGGTTACCATTTTATTTGGCACACAGTGGAAATAAAAAAAAAATAGATATAAATATTCCAGCAATTTGTCTACAGTTTGCACATTGTTTCCGAGAAAAAAAAATGTGTACACAAGACAATAAATCTCTGGAAAGACATGGCAAGCGAGAGAAATGGAGGGAGAGCGAGAGACAAGCAAAGAGAAAGAATGCCATTAAATAACATGAATATCTAATTCGGCTCGATGAGAAAGAGAACAAGATTGAATTGTTTGTACATTGGCTGTTTGTGCATGTGTTCTATGTTAAAGTATACAAATGCCAAATTTGGCAATGGAATCTGTTTAAAACCGATTGAAATGAAGACACGAGGCGTATATTGCGATTACTCGTATTTGTTTTATGCCTCACCAGTTGTGCAAATAACAAACAATGACAAAGCAATTCACAAAATGCTCGAAGCTTCATTCTCTCATTTTTTCTTTTCTCTTTCCCTATCTCTCTCTCTCACTCTCTCTCGCTCTTTTCTCAATAATAGGGAAATTCAAATTGGATACACGCACGCATCATATCGAAATTCAACTCTTACCGATGCCACATTCGGTTGAATGTCATTTACTCACACATTGTCACAAAGTACCAGCAAACATATAAACATTGCCCTTATTCAACTACGTCTTTGTGTATTCGCAAAAAAAAAAAACGACGACATGCAAATAAGCAATAAAACGATACAACAACAACAACAATAAAGTACTGTGATAAATTTTTAATATGATCAAACCGACAAAGAGATATAGAAACAGACAAGTTCAAACCCCATATAAAAGTGTGTTCATGATGAATAACTTTCTTGCGTTTTGCGTACACGCTCGTACCTATATTAAACACATTAAATTATACGTTTGCAACGTGTGAATTAAATAATGACCCAGTGATGCCGTTTCGATCGTTCCAATACACAAACATTGTCTTGAGTAGATGAATGCATTACGGTGATGCGTGCTAGTATGAACGTAGTGAAAAGGACAGGAAGAGTTAGAGATTATGCGCCACCATTACTTTTTTGTATCTTTCTTTTTAGTCTCCTTCCAATATTTGCCAAGTGAATATAGCAAATTGTCTGTCACAATTAGGAATACATTAACTTTTTTTTTAGCTCACTTTGTGTGTTTACATTTTTCATTTCAACGACTCTTTCTATATTTTGCCTCTTTTATGTCGTCTTTTTTTTCTCTCCTTTTGATTCACATCGATGGAGATATGGCTAACGCTTGTTGAATCGGTTTGATTTTTGTATTTGCACACAGTTTATACATATATATATGTCTGAGTCTATTTCTCTCTGTGAGCGCGCATTCAAATAATTTTTATGAGGGCACATCTTCGTTCGTCTGAAAAATAAACACATTTTTGTTGAATGTTTTTATGAACGTACTAATATTTGTGATTGCACCGAGATTTTTATCGAAGTTGGCGTTATTACAATACATTTCGTTGTTCACATAAACCATGAATCTGCTCACAAGAGAGTGAGCGTAAATAAATGTTTGAACGAGTGAATTGTTGACATGTGATGTGTACTTCGCTCTCGTCATCTTCATCATTGTGCCATGTTTGTTTGTTATCGAAATGTGGCCTCATCATTTTTTTGGATAAGATTTGTCTATTTTTTCCTGTATTTTAACCGAAATTCTATGTTTCGACTATTTCCGTTTGCCTCCTTCATGTATTCGATGATTCAGTCCGGTTAAATGCATTTTTTCTTTTCAATGCGACACGATAAGCAAATAACTTTCTTCTGTTTTTCCAACTTCTACAATCACGATATCAGTTTGAAAGGAAAATAACATGACACAGACGGGATATAAAAATGAAAAATGCTGGACTGTTTTTTTTATTCTTATCGCTAAATGACGCATTTATCGAGTATTTGAAATGTTTACTTTGTATTATTTGCTATGTCTTTTGAAATTGAACTGATTAATGTGTGTTGCCAAAAATCATCAACTCTGACAATGTGATAAGAATAAAATGGGCGATGAAAATTACTCACCATAAATCATTCAGAGCAATTAATTAGCTATTCTCAAATGTTCATTGTATTTTTTTTAATGCTATACTAAAATTTTTTGTCCTCTCTATCGTTTCAGACCCATTTTTTGGAATTTGGAATTGTATACACCGCAAGTTAAAAGTGTTTGTGTTTACTTGGGTGCCGTCTGCTGTGTGTGACGTTACGTTCGTTTACAATCCATCGAAACCAAACTAGATGACGAAAGAAGAGCGTGTGCACCGAACACAAAAACTTGCCCCAAAAATGTAAACAGCGACAGTTGAGCTCTAAAATTCTAGATATTGTACATATAGAGCACATTCACAAGTTTCAGTGTGTAAACAGTTAAAGTAAATATTGAAATTGACGAACAACAGAGGCAGACAGAGAAAGAGAGCCATACATTGAGTGAGCGAAAAACGACAAACCGAAAAATATACACAAACATTGTGAAAACGTTCAAACCGCGTTATAAGGATTACAGTGCGTCTACGTGTGTACAGAAGACAAAAATAGAGAGAAAGAAAAAAAAATAAAGAGTGAGATAGAGTGTGTGAGAGAAGCAATTCTTTAGCAAGAAAGACAATTATTTGTTCAGATTCAGTGTTTTAATATTATTTTTGTTCGTCTTCTGTTGTTATTGTTGTTTTATTGTTATTTGTCATTTGCTGGAAATTTTCGGCGTGGTGTGTTTTTGTTTTCAATATATTATTCGATATATGTTTACATTTGTTGTAATTGTAACGAGCAAACGGTGAATGTGAATGACACACTATTTTAAAGACGAAGATAAAGACGTGGTGAACAACGGTAACGGCAATACCGATCAGCGCAACATGTATCCAAATTCAGGAATAAACGCGGCCGCAGCTGTTGCAGCTAGTAGACATCCGGTAAGTGTTTTAATTAAATGTGTGTACTCGCTTGAACTCAATTAACACATAGAAAATGCACAACAAAAGATAGGCACATCTATGATAGTGGAAAATTTGCAAACGTCATGGAAACCCTGTAAAGCTTATGGAAAGAGAATTTGTGTTGCCAATATGAAAAGTCAATTTATTCAACCGTAACCGGAGAACCAGTCACACATGAAATTGTCAATTATTTAATCATCGGCTTCTTTTTACTCGATTGACACAGTTTCATGGGACTCTGTTCAGATGAATGCTCGAAGCATTTTAATGTGCTACAATAATAAAAAGCAACCAGAAAACATGCTATACAAGTTCGTTTTTTATCTGCTTCAAATTTCTCGTCATTCAAAGACTTGATCCATTACACAAATTTCAAGCACCAAAAATACTATTTTAAATAGCAATCAAAACTACTTTTTGTTAACCTTTTAATCTATTTTGTTTTTGTTTTGTTTCGTTTCGTTATGTTTCAAGGGACCGCCGCAACCGAACCAACCATACAAATTCACCATATTGGAAAATTGTGATCGAATCAAAGAAGAGTTCAACTTCTTACAAACCCAGTACCACAGGTGTGTATCTATCCAACCATCCATCCATTATTTTCTCATCTTGGTGCGCGCTTTTGCAAGCCATCATGGAAAAATTCATTTAGCGCGTGAGCGTTCGAATTATCAACTTTACATTTTTGTTTGCATACACTCTTTGAAATCATCCAGTTTGTTTCTATATTAAATTAACTATTTGCTTATACAATTTTCGTTTCGTTTTTATTTATATTTGTTCAAGAGATAGAGAAAAAAAATTACCGATTGCTAAGTAAATATTTCATTTTAATTGAATTGTTTTTTTTTATTTATATATTCGTCATCTGTTTGGCAATGTTCTCATTGGGCTTGAATACATGTGATCAGTATAAAAATGGACCTGGAAAAAATGGCTCAAGAAAAGACCGAGATGCAAAGGCATTATGTTATGGTGAGTGAATATTCCTTTTTTGTTCGTGTGTTCTTTGAGAATTTTTGAATAATCAAATCCATTTTGTCCCTTCCACCTCACAGTATTACGAGATGTCGTATGGTTTGAATGTCGAAATGCACAAACAGGTACGCCCCCAGTTTACATCCATTAAAATAAAATACACAAAAAAAAAATCGCGAAATAAATCAATTTATGTATTTATTTTATGTTTACAACAATCATTTTGATAAATTGTTTATTTATAAAGTGCCGGTTTGATGTAAAATTGTAAATATTTTTTTACTGTATTGCTTTTTTTAGACAGAGATATCGAAACGCTTAAATGCCATTATAGTACAAATTGTACCTTTCCTGCAAGGTGAACACCAGCAGCAAGTGTTGACAGCGGTTGATCGAGCTAAACAAATTACAATGACTGAATTGAATGCTGTTATTGGGGTGAGTGTCATTTGTGTCAAAATTATATATATGCTTATGCATGCTACACAAGTTGCAAAACCACAATACTACAATGAACGGTTTTTTGCCTTTGTAAATATTTTGGCATTTCATTATTATTTTTATTTGTTTGTTGATTCATTCAATGTGTTTTTTGTATTCTCATTTCTTTGTTCATTATTCTATATTTTTCATTGTAGCAACGACCGGATTTGCCACGTCTCCTGCAACATATGCAGGCACAACAAATGCCTGTTGGTCATGCACCACCGATTCCGCTTAATATGCCACATCCTGGCCTTCCTCCCGGTGCATTAGCCGCACCACCACAACACCCATTGGCAATGCTCGGCAAATCAGAATTACATCGACCAGATGATGCAAAAAGTACAAGCGGTTTGAGTGCAACCGAAGAACGACACCGAAATTCCATTTCACCATCTGATCGCGATAAGTACCGACCACGATCACCACCTGACCAACAAATGGATCTGAAGAAAATTAAAAAGGATGACAAAGATATGGGACACGTAAGTACATGAGCAAAGAACCACTTTAATTGCAACAAAAAAAAAACACAACACATCTATGGTTTCTCTTTACAAAATATAGCAATCTGATGGTGAGAAATCGGATCAAGATTTAGTTGTCGATGATGCATCAGAAAGTGCAATGAGCCCGATGCCAAATGCGCACAATAGCAATGGTGGAACACATTCGCCGCGTGAAAATGGTATGCTACTGGGGCAATTTTTTCATTATATGTTTCCTATTATTTTTCGATTATTTTCCGATTACTTATCGATTATTTTAAATTTTATTCTTTTCTTTTGTGATTCTCCCCTTAGGTATGCTACTTAAGAAAATGGAACATCCGGACAGACTTGGTCCACATTCGCCGCGTTCAGGTACCTCATCAAATGCATCAACACCATCGAATAAGAAAATGGAAGAGAAGCCATCAACGCCGCTGTCAAAATCAGTTACACCAACCAATTCAAATGGAACGAATGGCAAGTATTTTAATTGCATTGACACGATTGTTTTGTATGTTAACGAATGTAAATTGGCTAAATGAACAAATTCTTTTCGACTTTTAGGTGATAAAAATTTGCCAAAACCGCCAGTCCTGAATCCAAATTATCCGCATCCGTATTTACCAGGTGTACCGCCCGAATTTCAAGGGGCATATCCACCAGGTCCAGTTCCACCAAATTTGCCTGCTGGATACCCAAGACCGCCATTACAAATGGGCTTCGATGCTCATCCACAAATGAGAGCACCCCCAATCGCCCCAGCCGCACTTGGAATGTTGCCGAGTGGAAAAGCGTGAGTTTGTATAACTATACTTTGTTTTTATCTTACTTGATTTTTAAATTCAACTAATTATAATTGCTGTCAGACAATTTCCGTTGAATTCATGTGAATCATATTGCATCGAGTGCATTTTTCAATTTTGTTTCTAATATAAAAAAAATGTTTTCTTCATTTGCACAGTTCATATTCATACCATGTTGGTGAAGATCAACAATTACGAGCTGCATCATTTCCGCCGGATGCATTGATTGGTCCCGGAGTACCACGACATGCGCGTCAAATCAATACACTTGCACACGGTGAGGTGGTGTGTGCTGTAACCATTTCCAATCCGACAAAATACGTTTATACTGGTGGCAAAGGATGTGTGAAAGCATGGGATATCTCACAGCCAAATAATAAGAATCCAGTTAGTCAGTTAGATTGTTTGCAACGAGACAATTATATTCGATCGGTTAAATTGTTGCCGGATGGACGGACATTGATTGTTGGTGGTGAAGCATCAAATCTATCAATATGGGATTTAGCCAGTCCAACGCCCCGCATCAAAGCCGAATTAACATCAAGTGCACCAGCCTGTTACGCTTTAGCCATATCGCCTGATTCAAAAGTTTGTTTTTCATGTTGTTCGGATGGTAATATTGCCGTTTGGGATTTACACAATCAAGCATTGGTTCGACAATTCCAAGGCCATACAGACGGTGCATCATGTATTGATATTAGTGCTGATGGCACAAAACTATGGACTGGCGGTCTAGATAACACAGTTCGTTCATGGGATCTCCGAGAAGGCAGACAATTACAACAACATGATTTTGGTTCACAAATTTTCAGTCTTGGTTACTGTCCTACTGGTAAGTTTCATACCTCATAATCAAAGAGTGATTTGATCGAAAATTGATTTTTTCTTTTGTTTATTCATTGTTAACAGGTGATTGGTTGGCTGTTGGTATGGAAAATTCCAATGTAGAAGTGATGCACGCCAATAAACCTGAGAAATATCAACTGCATTTGCATGAAAGTTGTGTGCTTAGTTTGAAATTCGCTGCCTGTGGTAAATGGTTCGTGTCGACTGGAAAAGATAATTTATTGAATGCTTGGCGAACACCTTACGGCGCTTCAATATTCCAGGTAAATATTGCGTCCAATCAACCGAATTATAAAGAAATAAACCATTTTGAAATACGACATTTTTACAAATGATTTTTTTCTTTCTACTTTACAGTCAAAGGAATCATCATCAGTGCTCAGTTGCGATATTTCCGCCGACGACAAATACATAGTGACTGGATCGGGTGATAAGAAAGCTACCGTTTATGAGGTTATCTACTAGACATGTCATAACAATCATGTCAATTTCGTGGCCATTTTCGACATTATATCGATCTAATTGATATATATTATAAACATGATCAGGAACTTAACTCAATTTTATTTGCAAACACGATTTATTTCGTTTAGTTTCTACTTAAAAGACAAACTCTTATTTGAAACAAATTAATATTTGCTTTGAAAGAGAAAATCATAAAAAGCTTAAATTTACACGCGGCAATCTCAATAGATGCAATTTCTCTTGATTTTTATTAAACAAACAAAAAATTTAAATCAATTTTCATAGAATGCGAACAATTTTTTATTCTCGCAAATTTTGAAGCGAAAAAAAGGCAAACGCAACATTTTGCATTGTAACTAAAAAAAAAGAAATTGTATCCTTCATAGTTTTAATTTAAATTTTAAGAAAAAATCTCTTTATTATTGTGAAGAAGAAACAATGTGGAAAAGAAATCTTCAGTTATAAGATCTAGCTTGTTGTTTAGACGTTTAAAGAAGAAGAAAAAATACGAAGAAAAAAAAGAGCCGAATACAGAAAAAAGCACATAAATGTTAAATAATAATCAATAAATTGATGATGCTTCATTTCATAATTTTACATAGTTTTCTTTTTGTATACAGACCCTATTCTCAATTAAATCATAGTGCAAGATTGGCGATTTCAAGCCGGCATTTAATGATACGACAAATGGAAAAGAATACTTATAGCACTCTCGATCGAGCTTCTCAAAAGCGTTAATGGTAATTTCTTAATTTCTTTGAATTTTAAATGAAAACAATCCCAGCTATTTTTTTGTAATATATTTTAATTCAATTAAAATAGGGTAAATAATGGTGTACACTCTGTTTTCAATCAAAATAATCTTCAATGTCAATATCTGGATTAAGAATATCATCACCATATGGTGTTAAATCAAGTTGATTTAAAATTAAATTTTCCGTTGTCTCTTCAAGTCCTGTATCGCCAATCAGAATAGCCCCTTGCAATTTTCCATCGACCAGCACATATTTTATGTATTCTTTGTCTTGTGTAACGCGCAATAATGCTTCATATTTATTATCCAAACCTTGTCCATTATATTTTCCAAGCAAAACCACTTGATATCCAAAAAGCTGAGTTACATGCCCAAACAGTTCAAAACAAAAGTCTGGGTAGATCGTTTCTTCTTTATATTTGGCAGCCATACTTTTGCCGGCCATAGCTCCCATTTGTCGTGCTTGTGTCCACAAACGCATCTGAAACCAGTGATTTGTCCAGTCCCATCCAGCGTAGCACACATCACCCGCTGCATAGATATTTGAAACCGAACTTTCCATTAATTCATTCACAAAAATACCACCATCTGGTCCAAATCGAAATTGTTCACCTATCATCGTAAAATTAAGGTTTGGCAGAACTCCTGTAGCCGATACAACAAAATCACAATCCAAAATAGTATCATTTTCAAGTGTAACTTGAACTGGGAATTGATCATCACAAATGGGATTGATGGTGATATTTTTGATGCCAGTTTGATAATGAATGCGAACAGCTTCTGGTAGACCTTCACATTTTCCCGTCAAATTGAATAATGTATGCCAGTCAGGGCCAAGGGCTGCGCCACTCTTATTTTCAGTTTCATCAGTATTTTCAGTGTATCGCATTCGTTTGACGAGCCGCGGTCGATTCTCATCCGTCGATGACGTCGATTCTGTCTGTTTGTTTTTAATGCGATTTTGAAAAAATGTGGCTGCGCCTGGATCGACAAACGTTTGTGATACATATTTATCTTTGACCACCCATTCGATTGCAATATTCTTCAATTCGTACACAAGCTCTGATGCAATACCACCATTTCCAACAATCACAATTTTACGATTGTTTTGAATGCGCTTCTCGAAATCACAAACCGATTCTGTGTCGCGAATGCCCAAGATGTACTTTTGATTGGATTCGTTGATTTGATCGACAATTTTTGGTCGAGCACCCGTACAGATGCATAGATATTCGTATTTAATTTGATGGTTTTGTTCAGCAGTTCGGATGATTCGGTGATGACTGTCGATTTGAAGCAGACGATCTGTTATAATTTGAACATTTTTCGGTAGGTTTGATGCATGCTTTTGTTCAATGTCAAAACGTGTTAATGATTTTCCGAGAGCAACCAGATTTGTGGCTGCTTTAATTATCGGCGACTCGGTGAGCAATAATATCGATTCGGTTTGACAGAAAAATGCTAAGGTTTCAATACAAGACACACCAGCAATACCACCTCCAACAACTACAAATTTTGCTTCGTACATGGTTTGATTGGATGTTGACATTTCTTTTTCTTCTTTGGATAATTCGATTTTGAACAGAGTAAACTAAATATAAACTAAAAATCTATTTAATTTCGGTTGTTGGTTTCTTATAAACGTCGTAATAATCAGCGTAGCTAAATTCACGATGCGGTACAACGTATTCCAACAATCCAAAATCGTATGCACGCTCAACGTTCACCTCTAATTTTGTGTGTTGCTTCTGACACAATCCGGTTATTTCATAAGATAAAAGCTAGAAGAAAACAGTTGTGTTAATACTCAATGCAATGCAGATATTTGTGTGTTAATTTTGTGAATTTTTCAATTGGTTGAATGTTAACCTACCTCTCCAGTGTATGGCGAAATGAACTGTTTTAAAAGTTCAACATTTTCATGATGCAATACTAGATATTCATCACGACAAACTGGACCTATTATTGAATAAAATCATGAGCTTTTGATTCATACTCTTATAAACATACATGCTGATACTTACACGGGCTACCAGTTGCGATGACGTTATGCCGAATACAAGTTAAACGCGTTTTTCTTCTGGGAAATTGACCCTTGTGCACTCGCCGATATAATTGCCACACTTTTTTATCGCCGTATGTACTCGAGAATGCACCACTTTGCATGTATTCAATGCTGGTTTCAACGTCGATTTTTTTGGTTCGATCACGGAGAGTACCAGCATACTTTTTATACATAGGACTCACTCGTTCTTCGCTCTCATCTTTTTCTTCACAAAAGCGGGTGGTTGTTAATGAAAATGGACGATGATCGATGGTTTCATGTGATAACTTTTTTTGATGATTCGCAAAACCATTCAATAAAACTGCTTGATCTACATTTGTAGCCAAAGTTTTTGAAAAAATGTTTAAATTTTTTCCTAACGTTAACCTCAACATTTCGATTCACTGCTATTTCCAATAATGACTGACAATCTATGAAATGTCAAATAATTCACATGGGAACGGAGGCATTTGATTGTGTGAACCAGAATTAACACATTTCGTATTCAAAATATTTACCTAATATCATTCGTTTCAACCTCAATTCGAATATTGAAAGCACTTGGTGTAACATTTCGATTGTAATTCGCTGAATATTCGAAAATTACCAATTTTCTTCATTCTTATCCACAGATTAAATGATATAAAAATGCAATATTTTGTTGTAAAAAAAAAATTATACTCAAACCACTCTAGTGGAAAATTTCGGAACTATCCATAAAAGAAAGTTGTATACCATCACTCTTTCTTATTATTGCTGTCAAATAGAAAACACATGGCTAGAGTTAGACCATATACGCACTTGATAAAATGTAAAATTCCATAGATTTGCACATAAATCGTGACTCAATTGAATTGGAAGATAAATAAAATTAAAGAAAAACACTATCAGTCAAGTGTTTGAATTTGTTTTGCCGAAATTCGGAATTGGTGAGAAGAATATCTTGACTAATATTGTCTTAACCCTGTTATGAACAGAATGATTGTATTTGCAAATGTTGTGAAATATGTTAAAGCCCCAATTGTTCTCTGTGTCATTTTAGAAACAGATGTAGCAAGATGTCTGTGTATAGCGCATCGGTAGCGACAACGCCAATTCTCAAATCGGCCAATACATCGTTGAATCGAAAGAAAATCCACGAGCGCATTAGAAACACAGTGCAATTTCAATTAATCAGTGAGAATGGGTTGCGAAAAGTGCTTGAAGATGCTGCAAAAGGCGAAAACATTGGTGCATATGAAGATTACATTCGAGCAATGCGTGACGTGGACCTAAGCGATCCGGATTTTGGTGTTTTAATTAAAGAGGCTCGTCAATGCATTGAACTACTCAAACCAAAGTTCACAATTTTCGTTGAGACTCTCATCAGTTTGAATTGGATTAATCGCAATGAGTCACTTGTTGTTGAATATCAAAAGTTTCTCATTGATTTGTTATCGGAACACAATAAATACACGAGTTTTGCACTGTCGAAATTGATACAATTCTGGATTCCAAAAGCAACTGATGAACTGTTTTGGAAAAATGGCATTCCCGATGAACGTGTCAAATTTTTCCTAAATCATGTCCATCAAACCCTCGGCAAAATACTCGATGTGATCCCAATGGCAAACGATTTTGCCATGGAAGTGATTGAAAAACTATTTCCATACTACTCAAAACCATCGTTTGTGGTTGCCGGTTATATGTATAACATGATGTGGCTGATGGAGTATCGGCCAATGTTTCGTGAAGATATTTTACAGTTATTGTTTAAAAATTTCGTCCTCATGGACGTCAGCATGCGACGAAGTGATATCGAAGCAGCTGAACGATTGTCCCTAGATGCAGAAGAAATTTTCAAAATGGACGCTGATGATGTAAGACTTCAAAATCAAGATGGAATGCAACATCCCATCGCAAATACAATGGATATTTGTTTGGACAAAATTTTGTCGTACATCAAAACACAGTGTCAACCAAATTCGAATGAAGATTCAAACAAACACATTGTTCGCCTAGAGCATTTCTTCAAAATTCTACTGAAATCGTTCGAAAATCTAATTTTACCAACACATAAAACAAATCACATTCAATTTGTTATGTTCTATTTTTGTAGTCTCAAGGTGAGTGACCTTTTTTTACAATTTATGACCTAAAAATTCAAATATCTAACTTTTTGCGTCATTTTTTTCATTCATTCTATTCTCTTTTCTTCCGCCAGACTTCAATATCCGATTCATTCATCAATTACTTGTGTTCAAAAGTCTGGGATCCAAATGTAGCAACCACCATACGTCAATCATCTGTTGGTTACATTGCATCATTGTTGGCACGCGGCAAATTCATTTCGCAACAGCGAATAAAGTGTACGTTGCACGATTTGTGCCGATGGGCACATGATTATGTTGAAAAGTCTGATTCCAGTCAAAATACGACGTCTATTAAGGCGCATTTAGTATTCTATGCTGTGTGTGAGGCAATATTCTATGTGATAGCATTTCGTAGCCGTGATTTAACAAATTCTAGCGAAAATTTAACATTTTTACAATCGCTCCAATTATCAACATTGGTGACGTCTCATTTGAATCCATTGCGAGTGTGTTTGCCAGCTGTGGCCACTGCATTTGCCGGTGTAACACGAGCCCATCAGCTTGCCTATTGTCATACGATTTTAGAACGAAATGCACGACGAAAACTGGCCATGGTTTATCAAAATGAAATTGTCATGCCCGAAGAAACGTTAGACACAACGTTCCCATTCGATCCGTATCTACTGAAAAAATCGAGTGCATATATTACTGATATTTATCAACACTATCAACCATGTGAAGATGAAGATCCAAATGGTGTGCACCATGAAATAGCCACCAATGAACAACGACGACGAAAACGCGTCGAGTCATCCAGTATGCTGTCTTCGGTCGATGACGATGATTTTCTCAACGATCCAAAACGAAATAAATTAGCCGAATTCACAAAAAATTATGAAAAAGAAATTCTCTTCTCGTATGGCACGTCACCCGGATTTCATTGAGCATTTAAAATTAAAATAAAATTATTGAAAAAATAATATATATTGTATTTGAATTAATTTATTCCAATGAAATAAATGATACGCATTATATCGATGTAAAAGAAAAAAAAAACATTTGAATTTATTGTTGATAGGTTTCGGTTTGTGTTGTACGTATTTCGAATTTCGTAGCAGCCTCTGACATCAGCCATTTTCGTAAAGCATCGTTTTGAATTTGACATTTAAACAACAACGAACTTTCGCAGCTAACGCAACACATTTGCACTCTTGTCTTTAACGCTTCATATGCTTTTGCATTCTTTTGGTATTATAAAGTTTATTTGTGTTTCTTTGTTCACTTAGTTAAATTAAAAAAATGAATGTCTACGAGTTTGAAAAAAGTCTCTTGGAACGAATGGAGGAATCGATCAATGTTTTACAATGCAAGAATTCACCTGTTCTAGCCGCAGACGTACGCGAAGAATGGGCTTGTCATGTTGAATTGAAAATTGAACCAGCGGGTATGTTTTGAAATTGAACATTTTAAAAATGCTGATTATTTAATCAAGTATTCTCTGTTCCGTTCGCACGATAGGTTGGCAAGCCATTTGGAAACTAAATCGTGCAACTTGTGAAGAATATAAAATCAAGTATCCAACCGTTGTGATGGGCACAGTTAACAATGTTTACTTCCAAGATTTAATGGCAGATTTTACAATTAACGCGGTTCAAGACGATGACGTCCATTTGCCCGAGATTCATGAAGTACCATTAGAAGACTTGTGGCCAACAATTGATCAAGAAAATAACGAATTAAATATTGAACGCACAGCTGACTGTATCGATGAATTGCGGTAATTGATTTATCTATAGAATATTCAACCCGAAACGTTGACACATAAAATACGGTATTCCAATTGAATTCTAATGAGATTAATTGACATTCACAGATTTTTCTATCGCAATGTATGGATGCCGTGGGACAGTGATAGTGATGAGGAGGTCGACTGGTGCAAAAAACACTTGGAATCGCGAATTCGTTTTTGTTTCGATTTAAAGCGAGGAATGAGCCGAGAAATGGCCGACTATATACGTACACTTTTGGCTGAAGCTCGTTATATTAAAAACAAACGTGAAATCATGGAACTGGAAATGAGCGACAATGAAGATGCCGATGAAGGTAATTTTGTTTGATCCACCAAAAGACAGTCTTTCAAATGAAAACACATTCACATGATTTCATACTTAGATCCAGAAAAAATTGAAGATTTTTTGCGGATGCAGCTGCGAATGATTCAAATTCGCAATGAAATTGAAGTGCTGGAAAATCCTGTATTGCGTCGAACATACGAAAATATTAATTTCAAAGTCAAACCGAATAATAACAACGATCAGAAGGCGAAAGTGTACAGCGTCACGAATGGAACACTAGACCGACAATTAGAATACTTCGAATCAATAAGAAAACTGGTCGATGGAAGAGAATCTGTTACATTTCTGCCATCACTAAAGGTATATGAAATGATTAATACGAATATCTTTCAAATCGTAGATCCAACCATCGATTATTAATATTTCAGGATTGTTTAAAAATGTGTACGCCGCGTGACTACATTTATTTGCCACCTGGCCGGCACAGTGTCAAATGGGTAGATCCGTTGAATTCGGGTGGCTTACTAAAAGCGGTATCAGCTTTGGAAAATAACAAAGCCGATGGTGACATCAACATGATTGATTCAAAGGAAATGGCCATCGTTACAACAGAAGAAAGTGGCAGTGTGTTCCTGTCAGCTGACGGTGATTATACTATCGAGAATGTAATTCTCGATTGTCAACAGGTTCGACTTGGCATCTGGATTAAGAGTGGAACACTCACACTGAGAAATTGTCAACTATTTGGCAATCGATCATCGACTGGTATTGGAATTGCTATCACTGGTAAGATGCAAGTCGCTTTTGATGCCAAGATCAAAAACACATTTTAATATATTTGATCGTTTCAGAAAACGCCAAGTGCATTCTGGAGCATACAGTCATTAAAAACGTTGGAACTGGCATCACATGTGCAGCCGGCAGCACTTTGATTATGAACCAATCAACTCTTTCAAACTGTGGAATAAGTTTGGAAATGGGCGATGAAACAAATATTCAATTTGACAAATCTCAAATGGTCAACAGCAATAATTCCGCTATATTGTTTAAAACAAAAGCCGAAAATGTATTTGAAAAAGACGAAAAGAAAAAGATCATCTCCGACTGTGGTGAATTGCGAACATTGATTCCGTAAGAATTCTTTTTTTTTTTTTCAATTTTATGCGAGCAATTGACTTTTCTAATTGGAAAATGATTCATATTTTTTGCATTTTTTCCCATAGATCATTTATTCTAAATGGAGATTGCACATTTGTCGGCAACAAAAATGGAAATATCGCCGTGGTTAATCATACAAACGTGGTGGCATTACAACATGGCGAATTTCTGGAAGATAACTACGAAAAAAGTGGCTTCAAAGACACAGATGATGTAAGCATGCTAAATGTCAAAATTACAAATGGTGAAACATCACCCATTATCATCGATGACACAGATGACCAAGAGCCAAGCTCATCGAATGATGAAAGCTATCATGATAATAAAATGGCGAACATTTCAATCATTTCAATCGATTAGAATCGAAAATTTACCTCCAAATTAACATAATTTACTCATACCAAACTGATGCCATAAAATCATTGGACATTCAACATATCTAACATACATCCATTTTCAGTTCATTTCATACGACTAACAACTTCATGGGTCATTTTAATTATCGGTGCTTAATTTCAATATGAAGTAAAAAGTATATTAAAATTTGGTTTTCTCTATTTTTCGTTAGACAGAAAACCGATATGAACTGCGAATGGATGTATCAGTTTGAATGTTCAAATATGATCTAATCTTTTATATTTGACAAGAGTCAACTTCATGCCAATCGCACAAAATACGAGTATTATGACATTTCAATAGACATAGTGTCAACAGTCAAACCAATATCAGAAATATAAGCATTTTAAGAGAATTTTATAAAAAAAATCAAAAGCAATAAACAAATTCGTATAGTAAGCTAAGTTTGTTTTTTTTCTGGCAATTATGTCCGAACCAAATAAAGAAGAAGAAGAAATTGTCGAAAATGACAATGCAGACAATCCCGAATTGAATGAGGTTTGTTGGATTCATGTTAAATTTTATTATTTGATTTTGACCCAAATAATTGGTGTCGATGCGAAATGTGTTTGTTTCACTTAGTTTGATGACGATGGTGAGTTGGCCGATCTACAACTCGGTTCAACGACCACTGGACGCAAAAGATTGTTTAGCAAAGAGT